GGAACCAGGCAACAGCGCTTAATGTTTGGATTCCTCACTGTGTCATTCATTATCTACAGAAACAAAGAGAGATGTAATTTTGACAAGTCTAGAAGAAAGTACTTTAATTTTTTAAGACCAATATTATAGCAACACTTACGTCTTTAAACCTTTTGTCAATGTTATCAAATTTCTTTGCTTCCTCAGGTAACTGCAAGCGAATGTCTCCTCCTATAAATATGCTCTCCAAGTACATCCATTTTCTCTGCACGAGCAACCAGACCTGTGAAAGATGTATTTTTTTTCCTATAAGTATTTTGTGGATCAGCCTAAGGGTGAAGGATAATTTGGCCAGTCTTACTCACCTCAATAGTCTCAGAAATAAGAGACAGATTTTTTTCCCACTGCTGTATGGTACCAAGGAAGGGTCCAACAAAGCGGCTGCCAGCCATGCTCTGTAAGTTCATGGCATCATTGTCCACATTCAGCAGGATCTCATCCACTGCACCCAGAATGGAGCCACGTTCCTGAGTGCCTTTGAAATAGGGCTGAACATTGAACTTCATGTTTTCCCAGGTCTCTACCACTCCTTTTACTCCCTGGAACCAGATACAGATAACATGTTTTAGAAGTAACTGTCATTTCCCTGATGAACTGATAGAACTGGCAGATTATTCCATTTTGAGAATGTTTTTAAAAAAAGAGAGAACCTGCCTTCTCAATACCAAGCTCTTTTACAGCCGAGGTGACAATGTCGCCTATGACATCTGCATATTTGTGCAACTCCATAGCAAACATGTTCTCCAGTGTGAAGCTTTCAGGGTTGATCTCAAAGCTGGTGCCAGTCCTTTCCATCAGTTCCTTCCAGTGCCTTGAATATAAAGACATTTTTATTCTCAGTTTTTTTGTTTTATCTGGACATAGATAATTTGAACACATGACGTCAAAAGTTTACATCTAAATAAGTAGAGTATTAAATACTCTACTTATTGTCAATATTATGCGTATTGCAGAACAATCTGCTAGGAGCAATTAATTAAAACCTAAGTGACAATAAAACAAATCCAGCTACATTATTAACTGTAAATTTTGGGGGGGTATTATATTCATTCTAGTTTCTCACTAGTATCAATCTTGAGACAGACCTGTCTCTGAGGGCCTCATTCTTCAGGTCCAGTAAAAGAGGCAGAGACTCTCTGAACTCCTTCATGCGTCCGTCTAGGAAAAAGGCCACAGGCATGGCCCGCACTTCTTTGGGCAGCAGCCTTAAGCGTTTGATGAAACCCTCAATGCCCTGTTGTAGCAGCTGGATGTCTAAATCTATCCACAAGGTCTGAGACCACTGTGTCTTTGCATCCTGCAAGATGACAGAACAAGCATATATATATATATATATATATATATATATATATATATATATATATATATAATTTAAATGATCACATTTATGTGTATTATGCACTGGTGTTTTACAAGCATATCCCACCTGCTGAGCTTTATATATATCATATATCTGTCTCAAGCCATTCATGTCATTCTTTATGTTCAGAACTTCTGGGAAAGTGGTGACTGACAAGTCCAGCAGCTTCTCAGCATTAGTTATTTCCTGCTGACCTGCTACAATCTTTGCAAGATCTGCCTTGTATTTTCCCATAATGGCCAGTCCTGCAAAAATAAAAGTGACACGGGCTTGTTGCTCCACTACATTTCAACATTTACCATGCACTACTATTCTCTACTCAGCAACAGGAGCATTCATCTAAGTGCCCAAGTACCTTTCTCCAAATCATCTCCTACAGCTCCAGGACCATGCATGTTGAAGCTTTCGGCAAAGACAAACAACTCCTGTTTGAACTCTTCGATATTCTCCTTTGTGATCTTTGGGTGTGTGGATGGGAGAAGAGTGTGGCAATCATAAATGTAAGATAAGAACATTTCTGTTTATTTTTAGGTTTAAGAACATTGTATGGGATTGATATCTTACCACAGTAAATGATTTCTTGACGTCTTTCAGACTTCGGTCTACTTGTCTGGCTTCTATGAAAAGGTCACTCCACATCTGGCTAATGCAGGCCACCAGCTCCCATTCATCCTCACCTGCCTAAAGCACATAAGATATAATCTTTTTAAAATGGGAAATAAGATCACTTTTGAGGTTTTATACAAGAGCACTCAGAGCCTCCCCCCAAAGGGTAAGGGCTATACAAAGAAATGTTTTATTTTCTTTTTATTACTCCATGCTGATGTTAGTATCGGTAATATGGAAATCCCCAATAATGTCACCGGCATTGCTTTCATAGATCATTTATGCTGATATCAATATTAATATGGAAAACTAGTGTAGTATGTTTTTTTTCCTTGTGAATTCATATAATGTTGCATTGAAATAAATGTTTTTTAGTTTAAAGAACTAGATGATCCGAACTCAAATAAACTTTTTCCTAATTTGCAGAACCCTGACCTTTAACCCATAACCTTGAAGCTTTACATACTAAAATTGAACATTTTCCTATTTTCACCCTGAAGTCTTTGGCTTCTATAAGTTATAAAACTTGAGATTTTAAAATATATCCCTGCAGTGTGTGATTTTGTAAAATATTATGGCATCATTGTGACATTCTAGGGAGTCATACTGAAAAAATTAAAAGTGAGTTGCACAGACTGCTAACAAACAGACAGACAAACTGATCACACACTCTCTCTCTGTAAAAAGACACAGTACCTCCACTTTATACATGGCCAGTGTTCTGTATTGTTCCTGGATATCTGTGATTCTCATCTCCACTTCTAATGACATGTTCTTGATGGCTGAGATGGTGCCAAGGACAGACTTCAGGTCGTCAAAAGTGTCAGGACTCTGTTTCAGCTTCTTAGACAGTTGCTTTTGTACAAAATAATCACAAAAAAGATAAATCACATAAAAGCCAAAGAATATTTAGGATAAAGACTGTAAACACAAACTGTGTATTATGATTAACTACCATGAATTCATCTCTCAAGTTAAAGAGGTCCTCTTTAGCAGGCTTGTTGAGTAAGCTACCAAGTGAACTGATCCAGGCTTCAGCAATTTCGCTCACAGTGTGGGCCAGAAGTTCCAGGTTTAGGCATACGCTGTGCTCATTCTTAAACTGAGGCTCGAGCATCACTTCCTGCTTGATACGAGCAAGGGACTGCAGCTTATAATCATACATGACAAAGGACGGCTTCCTTGCAGCAAACTTTTCATTGACGATGGTTCTGTTCTTTTCCCAAAGAACCCGATAGCGCTTCCAGTGGTAAAGGTACTGATCAATGGAGAAAAGCAGACGCTGGATACTCTGAGATACAGTTACACAGCTCTCCTTGATCTGAGGAAGCTGGGACAGGTCACTGTAGAAATTAAATGTCACCAGCTTATCTTCAGCACCCACATGTTGTGGAGGGCACTTAATGCAGGTCCCATGCATCCAACGCACAAATTGCTTGAACACAAAAATAAATCCAAAGTTAAGATATATTATTAGTGGTAAATTAAAAATCATTTATTTTTTTAATGCAGTGACAAAAAGACTAAAAAAAACACTGTGATGATCCCACCTTGGTGCTAACTACACAGTCTGTGATACACTGCACGAGCAGGCGGTAGATCTCGTTGCTTTGGGGCTGCAACACAATCTTAGGTGCAGACAGGATGGCGGTGATTTGAAATAGAGCTTTATCTCCCATCAGCGCCATATTAAAGGCCTGAATGTTTCTGAATATGAAAACAAACATGACAGATGTTGCAATGGTTAAGACTAACAGCCTTCTACGTGTTAGAAATGTGGTGATTATTACCACTCACAATCTATACAGGCTCAAAACCATTACTCATTACCTCTGCACCATCTTTGTAAGAGTGTCCAGTATTCTGTGTTCCCAGTGTTGGTAATAATCTACCATACATTTGGCTCTGCCAGTGCTGGTTTCCACACTCAGCTGTTCTATGCTAGTTATAAGGACTCCAATGTCAGCATACTTCTTGGCAAGCATCGTCACAGTTTTGACTCGCTCTCGCTCAATGTGTTCACAGAACTCCTTAATAGCTTAGGAAAAAATATGAAACTATTAAAATAATGCATGCACAAATTCTTTATTTCCAGTAAACTAATAGTATACTTCTAATACATCTACCTGGTAAGTCGTTTGAGGCATCTGGTGATGGAAATTTCAGTAAGTTGGCCATCATCATGGACTGCAACTTAGAATCAATAGCCTTCTCATGTTCATGAATCTGATTGACGACAAACTCAAACTTAGTTACAGTCTGAAGGCTTTGGTTGATGAAATCCGGGATGCCTAAAACCAAACATTAGCAGATTTCAGTTTTATACAAAAGTAATTTCATCTGACAGCAAGCATAAACAGAGATGTCAGCCTTTGTATGAATAGTACCCAAGGAATTCCAGTTGAGTCTTTTGAATCCCAAACTGATGTCTTTTTTGACTACTTTTATATGTGGAGCCAGCATGACGACATGTGCTTCATTCAAACTGTCCAATGCAGAGTGATAGCGGTTGATAAGCTTGCTCAGATCACTGACATACCTAAGATGAAGGACGAAACAGTTCAAGAGAGAAAGGAGATCAAGTACTGGTTTTTGAGTTTTCTAGTCAGTTACGGGTGAGTCTCATCACCTGATGAATTTGTTTTCCTGAAGTGCAACATTTTGAGCTAGATCAGGCACAGTGTAGCCCAGGGCTTCAAGACTGTAAGCCTCAGAAATGATTTCTTTAATCTCCGGAGCAAAGTTCACAATGTATCGCAAAGCCTTTGGTGTGCAACTTTCAGGTGGCGGGACATCCTTAAAGTGAGAAAAATGCAGGGAATTTTAGAGAGTCTTAACACACAATATAAGAGAACCTTCACAGACACACAATATAAGATACAACAGTTATGAGGAAATAGCAAAAGACACATACTAGTTCTGTTTGGGTTGAGTTTTTACTGGTAACCATGGCCAAAATGGGTTTTTTCATTAGCAAAGGCAAATTATGTTCTGTCTCCGCCATCCAGCTTTCATATTTTGCTGCCTCATAGTCCTTCAGCTGCTCTGCCATTCCTACATACTTCTCTCTGGCCTGAGCAAACTACAGCAGAAAGAAAAGAAAAAGAAAGAAAATCACAGAAAGTTGTTTTAAAAAGCATTTTAGAGTATAAACTGTTTAACATTAATGGTGACATAAAGCATTTTGAAATAACTCACCACTTTGTTCTTTTCACAGTCCAACATCTCCGGCACTTTCAAGAAGGGGAGGATGGCATATTTGATGCGATGGAATAGAAATCGTGTCCATCTGATTGCCCCAGCCACAGGAGGCTCATTCTTATTTAACGGTGGTTTGTCTTTCATTGTCTCAAAAATTTCCCGTGTCCTGTCCACCTACAACCACACCAACAAAATGACTACGTGTCACTCCCATAAATTACAAAATTTTAGCATTTACCTTTATGAAATGTTTACGTCGAGATTTTATAAGGATAAGTTAGCCAAAGCTTGACAGATCAAAGGTATAAAGAATAAATGTCATTTGTTAGTAGATTTTAGTTAGCTGTAGCATTATTTTATACACACATGCTCACCAACTTAAGTCACATTGTCTTGGGTGGACTGTTCCTCAGCTGAGGCTTCAAAATGATTTTAACCGTAACTTTAATGTTAAATAGATGCCAGCATGTTTTATTCAATAGCATATTACCTCCTTGCAGTACTGCTCCAAGATATCGTCAAGCTTTTTCATCAGATGGTTACTGATGACCTCTCTGGTGCGAATGTGTTTAAACTTCAGCAGCATGTCAAAGGCATCAGTTGAAGAGCGCAGTGTCTTAAAAGACTCATCAATAAAGTGCATCGCTTCTGCCTCAATAGCCTAAACAGACACACGCATTCAGCTTGAAATATTGCACAGTTATATTTGTCCAAGCTGCTTAATTACTTTGTGCATTTAGAACAACCAAACAGCTTCTGCAATATCTGAAAACCACCTGAACCGCCGTGTTGAAGTCTTGCATGATCATTTTCCAGCTGCTCATCTTAGAGATGTTGAAAGGACTAAAAACAGCCTCCTCAAGGGGCACAACCAGATTTTCCACTGTGCGGTGCACTTCATCAATGTGTTTTGTGTCACCTGTCACACTCAATAGCTCTGGGCCAAAGATATTGTAAAACTCCTCCAAAATCTACCCAACACAAACACATGAGAAATAAAAATCTGAAGTTTATTTTACACATTCAAATCTTCAGATGTTGTGTGAGAGGTCAGTATTTATGAATTATATATGTATTTTATACATATAAATATTCACACCAACCTGGAAAACATTGTACAGATCCTGGCAGACAGAAGCAATGTAATCAGTCTTCTCAAACAGTTTCTTACGGTCAAACTCCCAACGTGAAGCCTTGCTTAATTGCTCAATTTCAGCACGCCTCTCAAAGTAGGATGTCTTCCACTGACTTAAAACCTGCTTAGCTTCGTAGACCTTGGATTTGGCAACTTCCCTGTTGTTTCTGTTTAAGGCACAACACACTGTTATACTGACACAAGAAAACATCACATTTGAATAAATGATTCTGTTTGACTACTGAACAATAAATTTGGTTTTACTATAAACTAAAAAGTCTCAGAATATGTAAATGGATCCACATATACTTGAACAGCGTGTGGACATCTATGGCTTGAGTCACACGTTCACACAGCTGCCAGGCAATTCGCTCCATTAAGGGGACCATACAATCGTTCGTGTTATAGTGGTAGGAGATCATCCATACAATTTGCAGGCTCTCCATTAAAGGAGGGATGGTCTCCAAGATCACACCAAAATTTGCTCCAGTAGCCAGATTCTGAAACAGACAATGGTAGCTTTGATAAAAGTGAAGGAGAAGATAACACAACAGATCCACAATCATTATTTTGATTCCTTTTCCTTTTGTCCTTGCAAAAATTTTATAGATTCATGGAACCTTTTAGTTTCATGTAACTACCTTTTTTTTGTATAGTCAGCAATAATGTGCTTACCATGAAATGCCTTTCTAGTGTCTTGAGGAAGCGTAAATTCTCATCTGACTCCAAACGGTATTTAGTAAGTTCAGCAATCGCTCCCTCCAGTGTAAGAACAATGCCTGCACCTGCTTTGGTCATCACCTCCACGATCTTCCCTACTGCAGGATGATTAAGCTGTTCACTCAGAGCATTAAGGACAGACGCACGTTCCTGCCAAAGTGCTATCTCAGCCAAAGGACCAGGCGCCTGGAGGAAAATGGAGAGTTAATGATTGAGTCTAGCGACTGCATGTCACCAGGTGCAGTTGAGACATTCTTTAACTGAATGTTTTCCTTTTAGGTCGATGGGTATTTCTTAAATTCTTGACAATATTGCATGAATTTAGCAGAAAAATTATTTCTCCTGCTTTAGTTCCTGGACTGAATCTCAGAACACGAGATTACAATTACAAACCTGTGGTTTTTTGTTTTTCTGCTCCTCAATAACAATGGTTATTTGCGTTTGCCAGTTCATCAAGCACTGCTCCAAGCTTTCTACCATCTCTGGATTCGAAGGCAGGTCTTCCAACTCCAGCTCAGGAATGTGCAGTAAAATCCCATCTGTGACATGTAGAATGCTTTTACACTGAATAACTTTTTGTGAATGGGCATAAAAAATAACTAATGTCCTGTAGACATTTATCAGTACTAGTCGATACTCTTGCTTGGAAACTGAGAGAAGAAAAAGCATTTGCTTGCAAATCTATATACTCTAATAAAAATTAAAAATCATGGTGAGTTTTTGCCTTTAACAATAGCAAGCTCTTGGTTCAAGTAATTAAACAAACCTTCAAGCTGAAGGTGTTGGAGAGTCGTGTTCAGCAGTCCCAAATGTTTATGCGTTCTGTTGAGCAACTCATCACGAACAATAAATTGTCCACTTGGCTTCACTAAACTCTTTGTTTCATCTGCCTCACTCTTCCCATTCATCTTCTCCTGATGAGAAACTTCCTCACTTTGATCACCTGCTCCAGCTACTGCCATTTGGTTGGCAGTAAGCATGGGTATATAGACCTGAGAGGAGATGCAGTCAAATATTCATTAGAAAATTGATGTTTTTCCATATACAATAATAAGATTAAAAGCTAGTATGCTGCTGTGACATCAACTTTCAGTCCTACTAACAAAAGTTGCTCCTGATCAGTTGTATTTCTTATTTTTCTTACGTGGGCAAGTTTGCTTTGCAGCACCTGAAGAGGGTTTCCACAATGCATGCCGATGTCAAACAGCGAGGGCATCATGATATTGACCTCATTCATGTCCAGTGGTTCAACAATAGTCTCTGTTTTATAATACAATAACACAGTATCTTGTTTATTGCTTTTTTATATGGAAGATTAGAAGTGACAAGATTAGAAATAAGTACATCAGAGGGATAAATAAAGTTAGAGAAGCAAAACTCAGATGGTTTGGACATGTGCAGAAGAGTGAATTTGAGTGAATAGTGAGTGAATAGTGGATTTAATTGGAAAAGGATGTCAAATATGGAGCTGACAGGAAGAGGGAAAAGAGCAAAAACACAGAGAGGATTTGTGGATGGAGTGAAGGAGGATGTGCAGAGGGTTGGTGTGACAGAGGAAGATGCTAGGGATAGAGGGAAATGAAGCCAGGTGATCCAGGGTGGTGACCCTTAAAGAGAGCAAATAAGATAAACAAGAATCCTGTAGGCTTGAACATGTTTAAGTATGATGATGAGGAACTGGCATCTCACCCTTTGTGTTCCTGAGAAAGTAGAAGACACAAGATTTCAAAAATCTCTGTGGGTACTGGTTGACAGCTACGTGAAGCTCAGTGTGATAGACCAGATTTATCTCAGTCCTCTGAAATCACCAAACCAGAAATATGTTAAACCTTCTTAACTATCTTGAGCCTCTCAATTAATAATGCATTAATAATTATATCAGTTTTAAAGTTTGATCTCACATGACTGTCCCTATCATCATTTGTAATGAAGTCGGTGATGTTCTCTGCCCCACTTGGGTCAGGATCTCCAGTTTTCTTTTCTGGTAATGTAAACATTATTGTTAGATGTTGTCTTGCGGTCCAAATGTCCACAGTGTTGTTAAATTACATAAGTAATAAACTTTCTGAGAGTATGCTGAAACATGGTAAAAGGTACCAGTGAAAACATCCTACATTAACCCAAAAGCAATACAGTAAAAGGATACGGGTTCATCGAAACTTTATTCACTTTTGCAAACTTGTATTAGCTTTCAGAGACACTGAGCTTTCTGACCTGCGGGTGACTGATGGCCCTAGTGAGGACAAGCACCAGGACTTACCGACGGGAACTTCGACTTCACGTTCTTCCTCTCTAACAGTTTTGAAAAACAGAAGACACGATGGAGAGTCTTCCTCGGAGACGAAGTTCAAATAACGGATAATTTTCTCTTCTTCTTCTCCATCTCTCCGACTGAGCAGTTCATCGAAACAGTCGGGACATTTCCTTAAATTAAACCCAGCAGACACCCGCTGTCGGATCCACTCCACTCGTAAATCGTCGTGCACCATATTTTTCCACAATATTTTATCCACCTATTTACCATTAGTTAACATCATCATGTCGGTAGCGATTTCGAGCTCTGAAACTCACCGTAAACGGTGTTTTGCGTTGCCTCGGCAACCAAACGTCTCGTGGCGTACATGGTGAGAGACGTTATTTCCCGGAGCTTTGACTGTAAGGGTCAATTTCAATTTCTGGTCTATACAGCAAAATAGCCAAAATGCACACAAATGACGACAATATTCCATCCGCCCGTTATTCCTTTGTGGTGAAAAAAAAAGAAAAGAGTAAAGACCCTAAAGGCTACCTATTGAACCACACCAACCATGTGTCCACGTCAGTGGTGTTAGTGCCACAATACCTTGATCTGTAACTACATTACATTCAACTCATGGATGTGAAACTTGACCTAACAGAATCCCTTCAGTAAGGCTTGTATAAACCCAAGGAGGGAAGACATTTAAGGGCTTGAAGAGGAAAAAAAAAAAACCTCAAATACATTTTATTGACATTAAGAAAGAACAGACATTTGTTGTAAAAGAGTTAGAACCTGAAGTGTATGATCAGAAAATACATGATATTGAAAGGGTAGCATCATAAGAAATTACAATACACCTTCAATCTATATTTTAACAATTTAGCTTTAACGAATCAATGAATAATGAAACAATTTGATTCAACAAAACAAAGATTGCTAATTCTGTCTCAAAGATTTGACATTACAATGAACCACTGGAAAAAAAAAGAAAACATACTGATAGAACTTCCCTTTACCAACTCCAATACCAATCCTATACAGTACACTTTTAGAAAATAAACAAACGCTAGTGCCTGGCACGAGTACAATACCTCCAATCTTCACCCATCAAAGGATGTTTGAAAGTAAAAGGCTCGTGACCAGCAGAGCTGAGTCAAAGGATGTGAGCTTTTCCATGGTAGGAATGTTAAGCTATACAGTAAGTAGTAGGTGCAAAGGCAACACTGTGAATGCATGAAAGTAATAATCACATTCCTTAACATTCATCTGCAATTCTGATACATTACAAAATAGATATGTAATTTTTTTTTTTAATCTGTAAAAGTATTTACATCCCTTCACACACCTGCTCAAGCACTTTTCAAAAGTTAAAAGTCAGGGATCCTTTGCTTTGTTTTGGTACTACAAGCTGGGCATTAAGGATGATACATTATGCTGTCGTGGGGTGGTAATTTTGGTAAGGCAGTCAGTGCAATAAAGTCGAGCAATGTAAATGAGAGGTTGGCTCACTCTCTACTGTGTGGAAACCAAATCCGCCAAAACAAAAACTCGTTGGGAAAAAAAGTTAATATAAACACATAAACCAGGAAGCTGAAATGAATGACAAAAACTTGTTAAAGAAGAAGAAAATGAGGAAACACAAAGTAATAAATAAACTTCCATCTTATTAGATCACAATTGTCCACAGTAAGGTCAAAACTACCAACATATTTATCCCAAAGGTGTTTTCTAAGTAGCTAAATGTTACGGCCCTTCGCTTTCTTATTACTGCTAATGTCGGCTAATACTAAAATTTTATACATTACATTTTTCTATATTGATCCTGCATTTGGAAGATTTGTCTCTCCATGCAAGTGACATCAATAACCATTAACAATTGTACCTTATAAAAATTTGATGAGTTACATGTTAAATCTGAGGCTAATATTTCCCCCAAAAAACACTCTGCAGTGAAACTTAATGATCCTGACACAAAAGAATCGAAAGTTACACGAGTTTCTGAATCTCGCCATATATTTCTTTACATGAAATGTAAATAATAAAAAATGAGAATAAATATCCAAACTATTTGATGATACCTCTGGAAAAGGTCTTCACATGTACAGAACCCTGTTGGCTTGTTTTGGTTCTGGTTACCAACTAAGACAATTTCTCAATAGTCACTTCACAGTAACCCATCCTGCTCAAAGCAAGATGGTAGGAGAGAGAAGGAAAACGGGCAAAACTTGACGCCAGTTCCACTGTAGAATTTATTCTGAAACTCCACCCTGTGGATAAAAAGATAAGAAACCAAAATTATAAACACGAAAACAGATACTTCAGAACATATTGATCCCGACTATCACACGCAGTACTTTAGTGCTTTGTCTTACCAGTGTAGCCGAAGGGCGTGAAGGAACGCAGAGAGACCCTCCATTACCAGGAGGATGGACACAGTGAGGACAGCAAACAGGCCAAACAATGGCACCAGGACTACAACCCCAAGTTTTGTGTCCATTCGTAGTCCTATTCGCATGACCATGGCCCACAGCACCTCTGACAGCTCTGTGATGGCAAATAATAAAATCTACTTCAGCATCCATTTAGAGAAATACAAAATTCTGGCAAATCACAGGTCTGCCATTGATCAAGAAAAAGGTTCATCATGGACATTGATGTCATGGTCATGGGTGGTGATTGGAACCTGGACACCAATGAGTGTTCCAACAGGTCAATAATCCCAAGCAAACAGCAAAACTTGTTTTGGAATTGATAAAACAGCCTAACATAAAGCTGCTGGAATGATCTTCCCAAAGCCCCGACCTCAACACTATAGAAAATTTGTGGACTATGCTTAAAAGCCAGCTCTGTCCAGGAAACGGACCCGTTTAAATGAATTCCACCAGTTCTTCCAAGAAGTGTCAAATATTCTGCCAGAATTTTGTTGACGGCTACAAAAAGCCTCTGACTGAGTCGCAGCTTCCTTAAGGACATTTAACCAAACATTAGTGGCGACGTAGGTATATATTTAAGCCTCTATTCTTGTTGATACAACAACAACGAGGATACAACAATGGAATTGTCCATGTTTTATAAATACAAGTACGAGTCTTTACTTCGAGTCCTTAAAAATGTATCCTGTACAATTATGGAACCTTGAAAAAGATTAGAGTTCAAAGAAATTATTAACAGCCAAAAATGACGATGCCTTTCATGCCCATGAAGACTGCATGTAAGCTTCTGACAACAAATGAAACAAGGCAGCTAATATTCTGCTGAATGTACTGCTAGTGAGTGGCCATCTCATAGCCTGCATATTTAATCATTTTCTCTGCATGTTAGAAAGGACAAATGTGGACAATGTAAAAACAGGTTATGTGAGAAATACTGGAACTGGAATAGAGGCCACAACTTGACACTTGACTAACCTAGTAAAGTCTGAAAAATTAAGTAACAATTAAGTAGTAACAATTAAGAGCAAGGTCCATTGTAACATTGTGAAGAAGCACTTTGTTTTAGAACACATAATAATTATTAATGATCTTGTACTTACGGGCATGTGCCAAGCTTAGAGCCCAGAGCCTTAGGTAAGAGGCTGTGTTGGAGATGCAACCCAGGCAATACTCTATGGTGTGAATGGACTGATGAAGTATCTCCTCTGCAAAGTCAAACTATTGTATAAAAAAGATAAATGAATGTAGCAACTGGTAAAAATGTTTGCTTATGAGCAAATACGAGATGAAAAGCTGTTTGCAACGCTGACCTCCTCTGAATGGTGATCTCCACTAGTAGACAGATCACTGTGACTGCTGCCCTCCTCCATGTCATGAGCCCTCATCAGGCAGAGATCTTCATCACTGCTGCGTCGCACACGCTCATATCCCTAAAATTGAACGGACAAACTAAGCGTGGTTGAAAATTTACACCAAGGAAAAATATTTGGTGATGTTTTTCACATCTTTTAATGCAGCCATGAATCTCAAAACCTTACCCTGTACATTACCAAACGATGACTTCCATTTTTTAGCCAATAAAGGTAGATGGGTTTCCCCAGGAGTAAAACAGGCACCGAGAGAACAGCAATGATCACCAGAAATATTTGCAGACCATTCTGGAAGAGCCAAAATAAATAAATAATTTAAATAATGAAGGTATGGGACTTCTGTGGGATATTTTAAATAACATTAGGCTGAATGTGTTCATTAAGCACATAAACACGCAGCTGAAAGAGTGGAGCTGCTTACCTGTCCTGGGTAAAGGGGCTTCAATGAACTATCATCCTGCATGATGAACATGTTTATGAAGTGGATGAGAATGCTCGGAGCGTGTTTGGAGTCCTCAGGCGAGAAGGCGAGCCACTTGTAAAATATCATGAACACCAGGTATCCAAACAGACTCAGCATAAACACAAGCTCAGGGATGAACACCAAGTACAGGTTGTACTTCTTCCTGAAGTATCTGGTTTTTTGACAAACAAAAAGAAGGCAGACTATTAAAAACTATATCATGTTACTTAAGGAGCTGACATCATGCTTTTTTGTGCAGCTCAATGTCTACATAGGACAGAGGTAATACTGGCTCTTTAAGGGCTTTCACAGGGTAATGAAAACAGTAAACTAGTACTTACACATGATTGTAGGTGCTGAGGATTACCCCAAAGCTCATGTGTATGACCCCGAATATCACTGACATCTTCATCTTGTAGGAGTTAAGAAATGTAAGGCGGTTCGTTGCCAAGTTCCAAATCTTTACAAAGGAAAAGTGACATGTTATTACTGGTGACTTCAGGGATTAACTGGAGTAAACAGAATAAGTAGCTCTGCTTATTACTGTGATACATTACCAACATGAGGATTATTAGACTATTACTGTTACGTGTCTAATAAGGTTACTTTTACCTAAGTGATTCAATAACAGCAACCCTGACACCATAAATTTTGCTTTATTGAAGAATGTGTGGCTGATAATGGTTTAAGGTTCAAGGTTCTTTATTTGTCACATGCATAGTTATACAAGTATAACACACAGTGAAATGTA